TATATATATAGAACGATTCAGTCCTCCGTTTATCAGATAAAGGGAAAATCGTTGTAAGGCCCAAAACACCAGCGTCTGTTTCTCATTCCTCTCCTGTCCCCCTCTTCCTCCTTCTCCTCTGTCATTCTGCCATAAGTTCCAGCAAATACACACTCTTGCACACTAACACACACAAACACACTCAAAGAGCTAGTGGCTATGCATATTACATGAGTCCTCCACCTCTGAAGGGCTCTCTGCTGTTTTTTTCTTCTTTTTTTTTTCATTTTGCAACTTACAGCCCAGATGATGATGTGGAAGCCAGATCCTGCACTTAAAGGCTGCTTCCTTTCTTTACTGCACAAGCTGCTGTTTATGGCTGAAGATGTTTCAGCATCAATATATGGGTTTAGTGRTTGTGTAATGACTGTAAAGAGCTGAGAGCGGGAAAAGAAAAGCCTTTGTCCATTGATYCTTAAGTGTTTCAACCCAATAAAATCAGGCTTCTCGTGAATTTAGTTGCATAAATGTCCAATCCCCACTTTTTTATGACAATGCTGGTTGTGGCCATTCAACGTTAAAGTGATAGTTCAGATCTTTAGTGGGTTCTGTGAAAAGCTAATATGAACATTTGCAATCCTAGTTGTAATAAAAAGCTCTTTGAACAACTTAATTAAAAAATTAATAAATATTTCCATAACAAAAAGAAAAGCCCGGATTATAAAACTTTCGCTTGCCGATGATCCACCAACAATCTTGCCCACAGAGTGAGGGACACACCTGAGATGAAGCTTATGTATCCTCTCTGGCCTGGGAAGGCCTCGAGGTTCCCCAGGATGAGCTGGGGAGGAGGATATCTAGGTTTCTTTCTTAAACCTGTTGTCTCTGCGATCCGATAGATGGCAAAACTACTTTTATTAGGCCTGTTTGAATTAGCTGTTAGCTTGTCAAGCTAATCAAAATTAAACTGTATTTTTTTTCAAACTGAGTACATTCATTTAGCCATCTACAACAGGTAAGATATTGTTTACAACCTTTCAACAGAACCGCCCTCAATAGTCTCTTTTTAATTCCTGAAATATTTAATTCACAACCAGGTTCAAGTCCAGAAACATGTCTAATATTTTTAAGACATATTCTTGTGTGTGTGTGTGTGTGTGTGTGTGTGTGTGTGTGTGTGTGTGTGTGTGTGTGTGTGT